GAGCTCTCTAGATCTGAGCGGGCGTCTTTAGATGTCCGCTCAGACACGCCCCCGTGGGAAATGCCCGATATTTAAAAACAGGCAGCGATGCCTGTCAACATACAAGCGATCCGTGGATCGCTTGTATGGGGTAACGATCGGTGCCCCCCTTCGCAGTCCTCCTCCGCCGTTGTCCCGCTGATCCCGGGCTCAGCTGTGCCCGGTGCAAGCCCAGGATCAGCATGGTGCCTGTGTCACAGGGGAATCAGAGGGAGATCGTTACACGAGCTCCCTCCGGTCCCCTCTCCTCTGAAAGAATGCGGAAGTGTTGTATAATACATCACTTCCGCATTCTTGTGTCACTCTCCAGCTTCAGAAGCTGGAAAGAAGCTGATGGAGCAGATCTCTGCTTCATCAGCTTCTTTTGGGGGGTCCTAGGTGACATTAGGGGTCTTGGAGACCCCTGATGTCTCCATAAAGAGGACCTGTCACATATTTTGCTATCACATAGAGGGGTTTTTATTAGCCCCCGTATGTGATAGCAATAAAGTTTAGGGGGAAAAAAAAAAGTGAAAAAAAAATTAAGTCCCCCCCCCCAAATTTAAAGTTACACCATAAAAAAGAATAAAAAAACAAAAAAAAATGTTTAAGTCCCCACCCATACATACACGCATGCAAACATGCGTCGGGGGCGCATACGTGCAAAAAAGACGATTGCGCCCATTACGCCGCACATGTTACATATCGCCGCGAACGTCCGAGTGAGAGCAATAATTGTAGGGCCATCAATCACTGATAACACTAAACTGATGAGCGGTAAAAGCTTTTAAAGTGTCGCCTATGTCCAATTTAGGGTATTTTGACGATTTTGCGGGTGCGCGCAATTTTAAAGCTTGACATGTTTGGTGCCTAGTTACCTGACGTGACCCCGACTTTTATATTTTACCAAAAAACTGGGTAATTATGTTTCCTAAAAATGTTCAGTAATTTTTCCTAATTATAGTAAAAAATAAAACTCGTAGTGGTGATTAAATAGCACCAGAAGAAAACTATCTGTCCCTAAAAAAATGGTATAAAATTCATTTCAGTACAGCGCTGCATGACGGAATAAACGTCAGTCAAAGTACCGCAGCGCTGAATACTGAAAAATGGCCTGGCCAGGAAGGGGGTCTAAACACCTGGCCTTGAAGTGGTTAAAGACACAGTGGTGTGAACAGCCCTAAGAGCAAGAAATATCAGTAAGTGGCACAACATTAACACCTGCACGTCTATGATTATAACAGCTTGTGGAAACTGTTTAAACACAAAATCTTACCACAATCATTCTTCCATCGGCTGTAATAACTGCAACTGTTCCTGAAAAATGTCTGTTAAGGATGTAAACTGATTTTTCAGCTGGCACTGTTTTCATAGGTCTTGTATAGCTGGGCAGATAATGTGACGTGGGGAAGGTTACGAGTGCACCTAGCCCTCTGCAAATGCAGACTTTCAGAAACTCATCCTCTCGTATAGAGTAGGGATGAGCTCAGGTTTGGTCTAGATGCTAGATATGCCCAATTAGCTGCAGCTGGGGGAATTCCACAGGCCAAGCTGCAGGTAAACAAAGGGGCAGGATGCTGGTGAATCACTTGACCTCATATTTGGACCATGACATGGCCAAATAAGGTTGATCATGTCACCAGCATCCTGCCCCCTTGCTTACATGTGGCTGTAGGGCCAGAAATGCACTGGCTGAAGCTGGCTGGCTGGCTGTGCACTGTCACCTAACGTCTGGCTTTAAATGAGCTTGGTTTCGGACCAAACCTGAGCTAATCCCTAGCCTGGAGAAGATTTTGCTTTAGAACTCTCCCCAGTATAGGTCACATGGCCAAAAAACTAGGTATTTGGTCATGTGATTTCTGTGAAAATGAGGTCAGATTGGCTGATCCTTCATCAGGTCACATGACTTAGTCACAGACTTTTGGCCAGTGGTTTCTCTAGGGAAAGTCAGTATCTCAGTACTATAGCCATTTATGTATTCCAGCAAGTCTCTGAAGTTTCTGATTTGCATGCTTCTTCTAGGTCAGTAATTGAAGCCAGAGTCAGCCTTGCAACTGGCATTTGTAGGATGTCGGACTCCATATTACTCAGTACAAAATCACTTTAACCAAAATAAAAAGGATGACGATGAACAAAGTTCTGTACATTCTTACCAACATATAAGGCCCCATTCACACTGAGCGACATGAAAATCATGCGACATTGAGCGACTTGTCGCGTGACTTTTTCCTATTGGGCTGTATGCAATCAGGAGAGAAATCGCTTGAAAAAAAGGGTCATGTAGGAGCGACAAGCTACCAGCGACGAGCTACAAGCGATATTGAGCGACGAGATGTGAACAGCTCCATTGAAATGGATTGGAGAAGCTACATAGAGCGATATCGTGTGAAAATATGAGCGATATCGCTGCAAAAATCGCGCGATAAATCGCTCAGTGTGAATGGGGCCTAAGGGCTGATGTATGAAAAGTTTAAAGTGGAGCTTTACTGCTTCCAGGGTGTATGGGCTCTTGCCATAATATTTAAGAATACATAACGCATTCATGCACTCATCCTCCAGCGATGTATCTTCCCAGCTGACACATCATCCATGACTGCTAACGTTTTCTCCCAGGTCTTCTTTGTGAGAGCACAAAATAAATAAAACTTCTAGGAGCTAGAAGAATTTATATTACGCAACACTTTCACTTACTGGCCCCAAGAGCAGCCCATAGTCATTGTGCCACTGTGCTGAGGGCCCTCCACAGCACTAAAGAACACAAACATCTTAGGGACCCCCTCCCTACAGTGCTGGGGAACCCATCAGCAATGAACACAAACACCTCAGGGACCCTTCCCTACAGTGCTGAGGAACCCCCACACCACTGAAGAACACGAACATCTGAGGGACCCTTCCCTACAGTGCTGAGGGACCCACACAGCACTGAACACGAACATCTGAGGGACCCCTCCCTACAGTGCTGAGGGAAACCCATAGCACTGAACACGAACACCTGAGAGACCCCTCCCTACAGTGCTGGGGAACCCCTCTCACCACAGTGCTGAGGGACCCCCACAACACTGAAGAACACAAACACCTGAGGGACCCCCTTTATGTGACAGTGCTGTGTACCTGAGCAGACAATTGGCCAGCACTAGGTTCAGGTGGACAGAAGCATCAGCAAGCCATATGCATTTCTCTCCCATCCCTGGTGCTCAGCAGAGCAGTGAGAGAAATGGTGTATTTTCGGCTGAGGAAGGGGACATTAAAGTGTACCTGTTGTCCCACATTGCTAAAGCACAGGAAAATATTCCAGTATACAACTATATAACAAATATTACTGTGAACAATTCACACGTGCACATCCAAGCAGAAGTCAGGGGAAAACCTACAGTTGCTACTACTATAAACTACCACCCAAACCCCATACAAAAACCTTTCATCCCCACCCCAATACTCAAATCAGGATACGGTTAATATAATTCTCCAGAGCTGACGCCATACTGCCTCTAAAGCCGCCGTCCGTCCCACCACAGAGTACTGTTACAAACGCGCCAGTAGCACAGGCGCTTCTCTGGCGTCATCTCGCTGCGACTACCGCTGCAAGAGAACGCCGTGGAGCACTGGCCGCCATTTTCCTGTAGCCAGTGTTGACGATGTTGAATCGAAATCTGTTCCCGTAAGCCTTGGTTTTCTCTGCCGCTCGGCATTTCCGTAACCCCACCCCTTCCTTACAGCCGCTTGTGTATTTGCATAGGCCCGCCTCTTACTAGCTCAGTGTGCTAACACATGCTGATGAATGTCTCCTCTTGTTGTGTTGGCTGCAATCTGATATTTCCTGTGATATCCTGCTAATGATAAAAATAGGTTGTAAAATAAACATTTTTATATAGCTTCCTCATTGCTCATCTCAATCTGCACTGATAATCTTAATCCGCAGCGTCTATCTTAATCCGCACTGATAATCGGAATCCGCACTGATAATCTTAACCGTACAGGTCACTTTAATATACACTGCTACTCTTAGTCCTTACTAGTCATGATCACAGGATTTGTTCGGCCCCTTTGTTGACATTCGGGTCAAAGCTGCCATTTTGTGGCGAGAGTTTGTCGGGCTCAGTGGGCGGCGACTCGTCTGAAATTTTTTTATTTAGAAAAGCGGTTTGTGATTGACGTATGGATCTACATGGCTGGACGACGTGATTGACGTATGGATCTACATGGCTGGACGACGTGACGACGTGATTGACGTGTGGATCTACATGGCTGGGCAATGTGATTGACGCGTGGATCTACATGGCTGGACAATGTGATTGACGTGTGGATCTACATGGCTGGACGGTGTGATTGACGCGTGGATCTACATGGCTGGACGATGTGCTTGACGTGTGGATCTACATGGCTGGACGATGTGATTGACGTGTGGATCTACATCGCTGGACGATGTGATTGACGTGTGGATCTACATGGCTGGACGATGTGCTTGACGCTGGACGATGTGATTGACGTGTGGATCTACATGGCTGGACGATGTGATTGACGTGTGGATCTACATGGCTGGACGATGTGATTGACGTGTGGATCTACATGGCTGGAAGAGGTGATTGACGTGTGGATCTACATGGCTGGACGATGTGATTGACGTGTGGATCTACATGGCTGGAAGATGTGATTGACGTGTGGATCTACATGGCTGGACGATGTGATTGATGTGTGGATCTACATCGCTGGACAACGTGATTGAAGTGTGGATTAAAGCGATGGAGCAGGTTTTTTTATTTGGAATAATGGAATTGTCAAAAATTCTCTTTTTTTTTCAAATAAAGGACTTTGTATACGGAGTGGTGTGTACAGTGTACCTCTGACTGCGTATAGAACCAACCTGCCTAATGCTATGAGATTTGGTTCCCCCAGCTCTTCAAGTGTAAAACTGTTTTGTCTTAGATCTGCTTTCACTGACTGCATAACACTGTTTCCAGCTCCACTAGACCATCCTCACTGTTTTTTCGCCCCCTGGTCACTCTCTGATCAGGGGATATGGCATCTGATAGGCTCCCTTACGGTAATATTTAGTTCCCCCCAGACATATAGTTTCCCTGGCATCTCAAGAGGTAAACCAGCTGCCCCTTGCTTTCCCTAACACCTCAACACTCCTGCCTACCTCACTAGGCCGTCCTCACTGTTTTTGAACACCATCGGCGCCTTCTGTCCATGGGAACGGAATGTAATGGCCAGCCTAAAACCTATCATATTTGGTTCCCCCAATTTTTCAAGGGTTAAGCTGACTTGGATCTCCTTTCTCTGACTGCATAATACTGTTTCCAGCTCCACTAGGACATCCTCACTGTTTTTCAACTCCCTGGCACCTCCTGCCCTGGGGGAACGGAAGGTAACGGCCAGCCTAGAACACCTCAACACTCCTACCCGTTTTTGCACACCATTGGCAACTTCTGTCCATGGGGAAGGGAATGTAATGGCCAGCCTAAAACCTATCATATATGGTTACCCCAGCTCTTCTAGGGTTAAGATAACTTTGTTCTGCTTTCATTGACTGCATTACACTATTTCCAACCCCTATATGCCATCCTCACTGTTTTTTCGACCCCCTGGTCACTCTCTGATCAATGGAAATGGCATCTGATGGGCATCTTTGTTGTAATATTCTGTTTCCTCAGACATATGGCTTGCATGGCATCTCAAGGTTTAAACCGGCAGTATCCCGCTTTCCCTGAACCCCTCAACACTACTACCCGCTCCACTAGGCCATCCTCACTATTTTCCAACACCATCGGCACCTTTTGCCCAGTGGGAACGGAACCTAACAGCCAGCCAATAATCTATATTTAGTTATCCCAGCTCTTCAAGGGTTAATCTGACTTGGTCCTCCTTTCACTGACTGCATAACACTGTTTCCAGCCCCTCTAGACCATCCTCACTGTTTTTTCACCCTCTGGTCACTCTCTGGTCAGGGGAAATGGCATCTGATCGGCTCCCTTGCTGTAATATTCCGTTCCCCCCGCCCGACATATGATTTCCCTAGCATGTCAAGGGTTAAACCGGCTGCTTCCCGCTTTGCCTAACACCAGGACTCTCCTACCCGCCCCACTAGGCCATCCTCACTGTTTTTTAACACCTTGGGCACCTTCTGAATTCAGAATATGGAACAAGGAATAGGACATTCGGAACACGGGATTTGGAATACACTATTTGGAATGCGGAATTCAGAATATTAAATTTGGATTATGGAATTTGGAATTCGTATTACGCAATACAGAATTTGGTATTTGGAATACGGAATTGAGAATTTGGAATATGGAATTTAGAATATGGAATTCGGAATATGGAATTCGGACTTTGGAAAAAGGAATCTGGAATTTGAAATACGAAATTGGGAATTTAGAATACGGAATTTGGTATTCGGAATATGGAATTCGGAATATGGAATATGGATATTGGAATTCAGAATACAGAATTTGAAATTCGGAAACGGAATTTGCAACCTGGAATTATGGAATTTGGTATACGAAATTCGGAATTGTTAATGCAAAATATGGCATTCGGAAAACGGGATTTGAAAATTTTATAGTTGGAATATGGGATTCGGAATTCGAAATATGGAATTTAGAATATGGAATTCGGAATAGGGGATTCGGAAAACGGAATTCAGAATATGGAATATGGAATTCAAAATATGGAATACGGAATTCAGAATATGGAATTTGTCATTCGGAATACGGAATATTGAATTTGGATTACGGAATATGGAATTTGGAATACAAATTTCGTAATACGGAAATTCAGAAAACGGAATTTGGAACATGGAATTCAAAATATGGAATTTAGAATACAGAATTTGAAATACGGAATTCAGAATACGGAATACAGAATTTGGAATATGGAATTCGGAAGTCAGAATTCAGAATATGGAATTTGTCATTCGGAATACGGAATATTGAATTTGGATTACGGAATACGGAATTTGGAATACAAATTTCGTAATACGGAATTCAGAATACGGAATACAGAATTTGGAATATGGAATTCGGAAGTCAGAATTCAGAATATGGAATTCTTAATACAGAATTCAGGATACTGAATTTGGAATTTGCAATATGGAATACGGAATACATCATTTTAAATACGGAATGTGGAATTTGGATTTGGAAATACAGAATATGGAATTTGGATTACGGAATACGGAATTTGGAGTATGGAATTCAGGATACTGAATACAGAATTTGGAGTTCGGAAAATGGAATTTGGAACAATGAACTTGAAATATGGAATTTAGAATACGTCATTTGAAATACTGAATATGGAATTTGGAACATGAAATTCGGAATACAAATTCAGCTGCGTCCTGCTCTTCCTAGGCTGTGTGTTCTCACTGTCCAGTCAATTGTTCTAAGTGCAAACTATATCAATTTCTATATACCAACTTCTGGCTTTGTTTCCTTGTTATCTTTTCTGCTGCCCATCCTGACCTGCAGATACTGAAATTGCTGCCTGGTGCCCTGTTTACTCCTACTTGGCTTCTGGTCCATGGTGCTTGAACAGGGTGAACTGGGGGTTGTGACTCTGGGTCAGCACACAGCAAAACACATCACTTATGCGAGGAGGTCCCCGGTGAACTTTGGCTGGCTCTTAGACTCCACACCCTGAGGGATCCTTCATACCTGCTCTCACATGGGACCTCCTTGCTGCTTCGGCCCAGTCTTGCTCCAGGTGCACAGTGCTACGATCCATCCCAGTGAAGGGTGCTTCCCTCTCTGCAGGTCCTATTCCCTTAATTTACAGGGCCGCAATCTTGCTATATGTTGGCCTACAAAACAAAGTTGGACTACAGCTAACACAAGCAGTTACAGCAACATTTTTTTTACTTTGGGATAAAGGCTTTATATAAATGCATAAAAGCTGACCATTGTAACCACCCTTGTCAGTGTTAAATTGACAGCTTGGTCTGTTAAAGAACAATGATTAATAAAAGACTTGCTGGCCAGATGAACCGGTAATAAAACAATATTACAGAGCGGACTCCGAACAACTGCTGTGTAAATGCTAGTGACAGACTACATCGTATATGTCATTTTTCAGTTTGCCCATAATTCCATATTAAAGTTGAACTGTAGCTATCTTGAAAATTAGGGATGCACGGATACCAAGTACAGTACTCGGTACACGTACATCTACTGATACTTTTCGAGCTCCAAGACTAGGAGCTGCAGGGCTAGGTCCCAGCTGCAACCACGGCAACCCTGATAGTTCTCGTGAAAATGCAAAGTATCGGCATTGATACTCGAAAAGTATCGGTGCATCCAGTGGCGGAACTACCAGGGCCTGAGCCTACGGGGGGGGGGGGCAGTATCCATTCAAACACAGCCCTGGGGCAGAGATGGGGGGGCCTGTTGGTGTCCGGCCGCCGGTTACCATCGGATCGGTAGGCAGCAGGCCCCCCCATCTCTGCGCCAGGAGTGTCCATTGATCACATTGGCTGACGGGCCCCCTGTGTGTGTGTCCATCTCAGCACCTCCCCTGTTTGTGTGTCCATCTCAGCGCGCCCGTGTAC